CGTGCGTATGCAGCCAAGCAGCACGCGAGCGACGGACACCACGTGGTCATTTCCTGGCGCGAGGGGGGAAGAGATGATGTTGAACCGCACACTAATGCAACTTTCCCATCCCCAGTGCGACCTACCTGTTGCAAATGCACGCCTTACACATTTGAACCCTCTAGGACGACACACCAGCTGGAGCAGGCCGCAACCGCATCATACAGCCCGTTTGCACAGCTGGACCCTCGATAGGCACAATACGACACGAGGGATCGACACACGATACTCGATGATGGTAACGATGACGATGATGATGATGATGATGACGGTGAAGGTACGCTGGAGGACTAGAAGATGACATGACCGTGCGATGCTGTCGCCCCTGCAGACAACTCTACCAATAGCAAGACATTAGTATTGCACGCGGTGGCCGTGGGCTTGTCAGTTTCACAGTCATCCTTCAGAGGTGCGCCAAATGCAGGCAGGAGTCGGACTTTGTCGCTTCGGCAAGTACGGTGCGTCTGAGCATCAAAAGGGAGCATACAAACGCCTGTATACAGTGCAGTGGTGATAGCAGCAGCGGAACCGATTGCCCTGGGTAGACTCGAGCCCCAATGTGCGTGCCTACGCTCTTGCCATATCGCTTTGCAGAACCCGACGCGGCAAACAGAAGCGCTCGCGGATCGCCTTGCAGACGAAAAAGATGGTGGTGACGACGAGAAGCCATAGGGCTGCGCAGATGCCGGCCTCAGTACCAACGACGACTAGCGCGCCGCTCTGCGCTGCCCAAATAGACTGGAAGCAGGGGGCCGCGAAGCCAAAGATGACATACTTTAGGTTGATGTTGGCAGGGGCAAGATATCTTTATAAGCATCGAGAAGGATCGTTTCCGACGGCGAAGCACCTACAAAGCGCTGATCTTGTCCGCTCGGCCGGGAAAGCTGGGGCCACTGTACGACAGGACGCCGAAGAAGCATGTGATGCCAGTGCTGCAAGCATGGGCTGAGATTTGTCCGTCAGCTTGTGTGCCACCTCGCCGAGAGGCCATCCGCCGCGTGACTCACACCGCCATGCCCCAGCCAAAGATACCACCCTCGACGCTCGCCTGGCGTTCTGTATATAGCCAAAGACGCCGAACCCGACATGTCCGATGGGATGCCCGGCAGTGTTGGCAGCAGAACGTCCTCCGACTCGAGCGCGCCACGGTTCCGTCGGACGGCCCACATCGACAGCTGGTGCAGATAGCGCGGGGTGAACTTGCCCAGGTACGCAACGACATGGCTTAGGTAGAGCGTCAACGTTAGTTGTCGCAGTTCTACGCTAACAATATCGGCTCGGTCATATTGACTAGGTCCAAAAGGGGCAGATGCGGAGTGTCAGCAACCAAGGCAATCTGGATGATAGGCCATGCGTCCCCTGGCTCCCATACCGAAGCTGAGGTTAGTACCGATGAAATGACTGGCACCGAGAAACTGCGGTCTTCACGAAACGTTGACAAAGACACACTCAGCATCAGTGAGCCTAGTGCGCTGCGTCATGTACTTCCACCCTTCGATGCCGATGACTTTCTGTACGCGGTTGGCGACAAAGTCACTGGACCGGTGGCGGTGGTGGCGGTCATAGGTGCTCTCTCCCTTTAGGAACGCGACAAGGACGACAACACAGAGGCAGTGCCCGATGCCGATGCTGTATTCCCAGCGCCAGCTCTTCCCTGCGCAGAGGTGGCCGAGCGGCCACAGTGGGGCATACTGGATTGAGCGCTAGGCGAATGTCTGCAGGCAGTAGTAGCAGCGGTACTGCGGTCAATATTCGTAGTGTCGTCGCTAATCAGCGTTCGCTGAGCATACCGCAGTGCATGAGACTCACTCAAATGGCGATCTTGCGGCCTGCCTCCTGCACGAGGAACATGTGCGAGACAATGTTCATGCTGGCCACCTGCCGTGTGGTGCTAAATGCGGCCTGGAGGCAACGTATGGCAGCAAACGTGTTGGGCGTCGTCGAGGTGGCGCAGTCGATCTGCCAGGTGAAGCCGAAGAGCTGCCAGTAGAAGAGGATCGGCACACGTCCGTAGCACCGAATCAAGATCACCCACAGCGGGCCGAAGAGGCCGAGCAGCAGGATGGACCAGCTTGGCACGCGTTGCATGCGCGCCGTCAGTAGATCTTCATTGGAAAACAAAATTGACATGGAGGAGTCACAGAACGTCAGGTTGACGATCCGATCTGGCGTGGTCTCGAATGCTTCGACATAGCCAAAGAGGCCGGCGATGCCAACTCTGGGGCTAAAGTCGGGCACGAAAGCGGCAAGACATGATATGAGGAGACTCTTGGGCTTGCGCGCTTCGGACCACACTTGCTGGTCGCCGTCGAGGTGACAGTCCACGACGTTGCGCCTGCGGCCAGAGGACGTGCTTTCCATCCTTGTTCAGGTGCAGCTGCGCCACGGCAGCCTGTCCGTACTCTTAGACTGCCTCGTGCAGGTCGCGTATGTAGTGGCCATCGCGGAAGCCGTGGCCCACGCTATACACGGTGATGGCCTCGCACACAGTGCGTGGCAGCATCTTTTCATCGTAGTCGTCCTGGCCGGGTGTTGGGAGCCGCTGCAGCTATTCTTCGTCACCTTCTTCTCCGAGAGGTCGTTCATGACGGGAGTCATGCATGACTGTGCCTTGGTTGTAATTAACGATGAGAACTTGCGGGGAATGCTGGAAGGGGTGTTCGAACGGGTTCTAAGGGCATCAGATGAGGGTAATTGCATAGGTTCCGTGGTGCTGACAAGACAAAGGACGTTTCGTCGTTATTTGGCTGTTGCGGAAGGCGGCAGCCTGGCATATGAAGTACGCAGATGAAGCACCTGCGGACAGGTGGAGCGTATCAATGCGCAGAGATATTCAACTGCATCCAACAACGAGGTGGTAGCCTCACAGCGTATATGTTTCACTTCCTGCACGAGCACTACTTCTTTGCAGCCCCATTCTAGGTTTCCACTAGCTGTGACGTGAGGGTATAGTCTTAGCACTTTTCTTTGGCTTTGGTATTGCTTGTACAGTATTACTTGCTCCACCCTGCGCGTCACACCTTGTGCACTTCCACTCGATTTGTTTGATTGGTTGCTTGCGAGTAGCCAGGTGATGTGACAATAACGCCGACCAGGCGAAATCAGTTCTAAACGCCAATCGAATCGCGCTAGGCACAAAGCACAAGCGCCCAATAAGTCAAGTGATTTGACCCCGAGGCCATCCAGGGTTCCTTGTGCCTGAACTCTGGCTGCGGCACTGGGGCAGCTTCACGGAGGATCCGAGCTTGGTGAGCCGATGGAGAGGCGGTCGATGGAGCAGCCTGAAGTCCTCTCCCTCTCGTCCTAAATTAGAATCCAGCCGCGGCTTCACCTCGACAGTTGAAGACCAGCACAGGGCAGCACACTCTCGGTTCACATGGAGCGGGACATTCGACAGTCGACAATGCAGTCGACTATGTCCGATCCCTATAGCACTTGAATGTAGCACATCGGGCCTCATTCGTGGTGCGAAGAGCTAGCTATATGCAGTTTGTGAGAAAGCTAGAGATAGCATGATGCTTCAGATCGGCTCGACGAGGGCCCGGTATTTTAGGATTAGGTCTGCATCCCCTCAGGTTCCCCGACGAAGTGACGCCGAGGTCCCACGCTGTGACGGATTGCGTAATTGTCATATGAGACATACAGTGGACAATGCGCAGGCGCAAGCGAAGCGTGGCGAAGCAAACCTAAGTAGAGTTGAAGTTCGAGAATGAAGCGACGATGGCCCGTGTTCGCGATCGCCAATTGCGGCTTTACCTCTTCATTGGCGGCCAATGTCCGATATTCGACGAGTTATCCGTGCTCTCTTTTGTTCTGTCTCTCGTCCGAGAAAGGTCATTCTAGTGAGCCAAAAAGCAGGCGAGAGTAAGTAACGCTTGCGCCCATTTGGAGGAAAGGTAGAGTGTTGACGTCCAGAAGATTAGCATCGCTCATAATCATGCGATCAATACTCAATACTCACTTTTGTGTATTCAGGATCGCCGTCCTCCTCGCGCAAGGCACTTCCTCCTGTAGTAGATTTGTACGTCATTGCCCTGTCCTCAAAGACTTTAGACTCGATCCAGGCACTTCACTTGGTGACCCTTGATTATGAGCAGGTCAGAGTAGAGTATCGCAGATTGAACGAGCTGGTCAAAAGCATTCGTTCATCTCCGGCCGGATGTACATGCAGCTCATTGATCACCAATCCGCGATCAGCGGTCAGGAATTAACACCTTGCATACAGATTCGAAGAGACGAAGCCGAGAAAAAGAAGGATCGTTCTGATCGTATCTAAGCAAGAAGAATATTTCTCTCTGCGGTGGAGGGGGCGGGAGCACAGCGATAGCAAAAGTGAGCGCGTGTCGACTCAGTGATGACAGTGAAGGATCTTTGCACAGTGCACAGCAAAGGGTGACTCACTTGACGCACCACACTCACTCCTGAGCGTTCAAAAAGGGGTCCAGAAAATGACAAGTTCGCGCCTCGACTTTCGACCAGCCTTGGGGTGCGAAAGTGGGTCCTGAGTGTCGTCTAGCGGTACTTGCTCCCAACACCTCGCCCAATTCCACTGCATCGAATCTTGTCGAACGTGTGTTGAACGCACAGAAACGCCGCAATGGGCAGATGCTTCATGAAGCCAGTGACAGACAGCGATGGATGGAGGCCAGCAGATTTGCGAGGGAACAAGTGCGTTTTATCAGGACCCATTACGTACAATGTCAGTCAATAGGGAAACCCATGACGAGAATTGAATATGGCGTGCAAGCATGAAATAAAATGGAAGCGTGATTACTGCTTCCGGGCAGGGGTGAGGAGCGAGTTTTGGGACAAGCGCGCCTCTTTGGGTGCATAAATGGATGCGTGCGTGCGTGCATGACGTCTAGACGGTCGCTGGGCAGCCGAACGATGTAGCGGCTGCTCCTCCATTCTGAAAGGTGTTGTAGACGGCCGTTCCGGAGCCGTACATGCCGAGAACGCTCATGGTGTAGCTGCCAATCGTGATGACGAGGAGCCAGAGCTTGAGCCAGATGGCGGGGATGGTGCGCCCCTTAAAGTGGAGCTCGCCGCCAAAGAAGCCGCGACGCCAGTCGCGCGGTGCTGGCGGCTGGCCGGGGACGTACTTGGCGACAATTGAGTCACGGTGGATCTGCCAGGCGAGCGCGAGCATGAACGGGAACGAGTAGGAGAAGTTCATGATCGCGATCGCGGCAATTAGGCCGGAGATCGTGTTCACTTGCGGGATCGCGCTACCGATCACGTACGCCAAGACCCAGTACAGTGTGGCAAAGACGCCCCAGATGAACTGACCTTTGCGTGACAGAAGGGGAGGGCCGCGGAAGATGCCCTCAATAACGTTAATGTAGGCTACCTTAATGCCGATGTTTCCATAGATGGCAGCGGCGATGACGCCGGTGATGATGTTGAGCACGTTACACGCCATCAGCCATGGGCCGGAGGCCATGCCCTGGAAGGCGACACCGAGCGTATATTGGCCCGAGTAGGCGTAGAAGAAGTTGCCGTAGAGGACGTAGGCAATGAAGATCAAGAGCTCGGCGCAGATCAGGCCCTTCCAAAAGTCCATCGGGCGGCGCATCTCGGCCATGATCTCGGGGAAAATCATCGCGCCACCGTATGCAAAGACCATGTTCATGATGCCATTGATCTTGTCCGGGAGCGGGGCACTGGCGAACGCCGCGGTGACGACTGGTGCGAACGGCGGTTTGAGGTTCAAATTGTTGGCGATCGCCGTGTAGTTGAGGCCGTGCTGCTTGACGACGCCCATGCTAACAAAGACGATGGCCAAGTTCATAAAGACTGCCAGGTTGGCAAAGAGCGAGAGGCCGCGCAGAGTGCGGATCTGCGCAAAGACGATGCCGATCAGCGCCCAGATCAGCACGGCAACCGTGAAGCACAGGTTGTGCCCTCCGGCTTGAACGAGCTGGCTGAGTGACTGACCGTTGGTGAGGCAGAGGAGGCCGACGTTGATGATAAGCTGGATGCTTTGCAAGAACGTGAAAAGGTGGCGGCACCACTTGCCGATCAGACGCTCGGCCAGGTCACCGTAAGTCTTGATCGGGAAGCGGATGCTGTCCAGCGCGCAGAACACCTGTAGGAGCAGAAGACCTGCATATGAAGCCATAACGCCCATCTGAAAATGATTTAAAAAAGCAGGCGTAAGCAGGGCGTGAAATTTTGCCTTTGCCAGGCCGCTCGCAGAGTGGTCACTCACGACAAAGTAGAGGATGTTGCCAGTGGCGAATCCAGTCGCAGACATGGCGTAAGGAGCGGCATTCGGGCCGAGGATGTCGGTGGTGATGAGGAAAAAGACGCTGCTTGCGCCTGCGATACGCAGGGCGCGGCGAGCGTCGAGCTTGCCTGCCTCAGGCTCGGGGATGCCATCAAGCTGGTCTGTGTTGTAGCCCCCGGACGAGACGCCCTCAGCGCCATTTTCTGCGTCCTTCTCCTTTTCGTGTGAAGAGGGCGAGTCGCTGCCATCGGTGCTACCGGCCTTGCCGCTGGCGCCGGCTTTGTTGCGGTGGCGGCGGTCACCGACTAGGCCAATGAGGGAGCGGATGGCGTCGAGGCCGCTGTTGGTCCCACGGGCGCCGTTCTTCCACGCGTCCTCCTCCTCGATGCGCTGGAGGCGGGCCCAGTGGATGTATTCCTCGAGGCACGAAGCGTTGCCACCCATGTAGCTGATGCTGGCGATGCGGTCGTGCGAGTCCTGTCGGCTGAACGCGGCGCGGTCCGCCTTAGACCCTGTTACGCTGGAGCCGGCAACATACTCGGTGGGCATGTGGCCCGGGTCCTCGAGGGACAATCCGGCCAGGTTGGAGACCATGATTGCGCGGGGTGGGGCAGCGTTGATGGGCGATTCTGGCCTAGCTGGCGGTGGGGGGGATGGCAGGGGATGGAAGGCGGCCTACCTGAGAGATGGGAGGCGCCGCGGTACGATCTGCATGGCAGAGACAAGGGGAGAATATATCTACAAGTTAGAAGCGGCTATTGATCTTTGTCTAGCTATCGTTATCAGCTCGTCTGACACCAAGAAGGAATTCAACTTGCTTCCTCCACACGCCGCCACAGTCATCCATGTGCGCAGGTATGTATGGCATACTCCCCCCGCAGCCGCCATCCACGCTGTTCGTAACTGAATTCAAACTCCATCCTCGGGTCTGTCACGTGGGACAAGGTGCACATGGATGCGCACGCTGCATCGGAAGATAGAAGAAATGATACAAAGATATCGTAGTGGTGCCATGAGGTAGCAATAATCCCTCTGCCCTGCCCACCCGAACGAAACGACAGCATGGCGACGGGCCAAACCAACAATCAAGTCATATAATGGCGCGTTCTCGTTCTCACGCACTCGCTCTCAGGAACGCTCCACCCGCTCTGCCACTGCGCCTGCAGTCCAGGTTTCGAGTGATGAGGCACTGGAATAGCCTCGGCGATACAGAGCGTGCTGCCGCGGCAACAAAGTCAGGAACGCGCCTGCAATAGCCGCAGTTGCCGCCCTGCCGAAGGGCTCGGCTGGGAAGGACACTATGCATATATGTATATACGTATGTACATAAAAGGAGGATAGGGTGTGACCTCAGCGCATTAAGGAACTGCGCAGCGCAGCGGACTATGGAAATGCGCGGCATCCGCCGTCAGCTAATAAGCCAGCAAACCCGGCGGGTGATTAATCTGGCACTAGAGCAGAGGATGAGATCCGCCATGCGGAATCTGCAGTCACTAACACCTCAGCCGCCGGCCTGGAGGGCAGTAAAAAGGTGTCCGCCTTCTCCGCACTAGGCTGTCTCATGACCAGACCGTCCATCTCCCTTCACATTTCCACCCTTTCCACGCGCAGCAATCGGCCGACCCAAAAAGTAAAACACGCGGTTACGAGTTACGCCCCTCGTTGGGATTCGCTATTTGTGTGAGATCTCCTTCATCGTGTGTTGTTCTTGTTGGAGATGAGCGGTTGGCTCTCTGCGCTGTCCGAAGAAGCCGCGACCCGAAGATATTGAGATCTGAAGGCTTGGTCCCAAAACAAGTGTGAGATCAGAATAACGCAAAGGAGCTCGATCGTCAATCAATCAGCTGACCAGTGGCTAGACAGCGTCTTCCGGACTCGCTTCCGGGCGAGTGTAACTGCAGTTGGAGGACCGGTCATCGGGAGAGAAAAGCCATAGTGGGGAAGGAATACCATGTGCAGACGCTGATAAAAGAAGCCTTTGAGAATTGGAACTGGTTTGGTGTGGTTCGCGCGATTGGTATACTTCAACGTCACCATCATCAGTCAGCGTATCCAATATTAGCCCATCGTTCATGTTCATTGGGACGTTGTAGGATGCGTGTCGGCTCCTCACCTTTTGGTTGCGTCCGCAAGTCTTCGTATTCTGCAGGGTGCGCAGACTGCTGCCCCTATTATTGCGCAGCCTGTCTTGGATACCTATCCGCAAGCTCACCGAATAAACACTTGGCGGATATGGTAGCCTACACGACGAACAGATGCGCAGCTGCAACCGAGGATTCCATCCGCCAGCTTGGCCCCATACAGGCGTGCCAACTGGCAGCTGCCACGCTCTGCAGCTGGTGAATGCGATGCTGGCAGCGATACAAGATTCACCATGTACATATTCACTGCAAAACAAAAGTGCAATTAAAGGGCTCTTGCTCTCTGCGAGAGGGGTTTGTGAAGCGTGGAGGAGAGTAAGCGTGCATTGTTCATCTGCTTGTGGTCCATTGTTGGCGAATGCATCCGCACCGCTGCGCGGATTCAAGCATGCCCAATATATGCATGGTGTTGGGACAAGATTGACATAATGTTGTCGAGAAGAGCACAGACGAGGGGCAGCAAAAACAAGTGCCACCAGCGCTCTTTTGCGTACTTCGCGCGCCGAGGTTGCTGTTGTCATCGGCAAGCGGCGCCGAGGAGCGGGGCCGCGCAGTTGTTGGTGAGAGGGTTCCTTAAATATCCTTTCGGCTCCGATGCGGTTAGATCTCTGAATGCCCTGGCACTGGAACGCTGTGCATATAATTGATGACATGACTGTAATTATCGCCGAGCGGGAAAGACGGTCGTACTTCCGACCAACAACAGCAACCACAGCTAGCACATTTTAAATGGGGAAGCGCAGCAAGGCTCAGCGCAGCATTCGACGTTGCTACCTCCGACTGTCACTGCGCCTGTACCTGCCGCCCATCATGAAACAGAGAAAGCGACGCACGTCTATCAGCATCGTTGTCGAACTGGTTAAAAAAGGGAGCAAGGCAAGCTGGCGGTCTGGAATGTATGCAGATAAGACGAATACACCCCTCTCTCCAGCGTATGTGTTGCACGCGGATGGTGATACCCTCCTTTCAGCGCTGACAACGACGTGTGAGTGGTTCGTATGCAGGCGAGAGTGGACCGTCCCCGCCTCCCCTCATCTCGAACACCAATCGACCCGACCCACGACGCTCCCACGCCGCGCGCCATTGCCCTTTGAATTAGCGGAGCAGCGCGCCCAGGCACGAACTGCAGTGATCGCTTGGTCTGGCTCCCGGCAGCTCGCGAGACGTTACACCGAGCTACATGCCAGCAGGCAACCTCGCCGCAAGGGAGACACGTTGTCATCGCCAGGGCAGCGCATAGAAGGCCCAGCACACAAACGTGTGCGCTCTAAGACATATCACGGTCGCTGTCATTCGATTCTCGTCTTTGCTTGCAGCCAGCTTGCAATCAACAATCCACTCTTACTTTCCGCACTTCCATCCATCTATCGCCCCAGGGGCGACCTCATTTTTGAGACCTAGACACGCTGCACACAACGCGTCTAGATGAACGCAGGGTGAAGTGGATTTGGACGTGCTCTCCACTAGGCTGGCCAGTTCTGCTGTGACCATCCTGCAGCGATCCTAATCACATCTCGCAAACGGCTTTGACGGTATCTCCACGGTTTTCCATAAGCTTCTGGAGGGTATCGACTAAGCTAAACCCTCCAAAATTCCATTGAGAAAAAGAAAGACCGTATCTCACAAGCTTAGCTCTGGCTCGCCTTCTGAACCCACCCGGCCAGCACCATGTCTTTGGAGACCCCATCCAAATACAACCTCTCGCCCCCCGGCTTAGCTTCGGGAGACGAGCGGCCGCATCGAGGTAGCGACAACAACGACGGCCAGGCGCAACCTCATCCGGCAGCAGCCATGAACAGCGAGCTAACCACCACAACGTCCCTCGCCCCAATCACCGAAGCCACGCACATGCATACCCATGCACAAGGCCTCAGCACTACCTTTCACAGCCTCCCCAACGCCGAGCAGCATGCGCATGCGCATTCGCACCAGTTCAGCAAGGACGATATCGAAAAGGAGTCTGTACCGCCCCTGCCGACGCTGCCGTCACAGACGACAACGATGCGCTCCGGCTCACTTTGGGCGGACGAGCTACCGCCACCCTCGTTGGGCCTGCGCAGTCGCAGCAATTCGTCCGCCAACCAGCATCAGCGTCAAAAACACCACGTTGCGGGCGAATCAGAACACGCTGCACATGCGTCGTCCGCGTCCGGTTCGGCACCTGACGACGAGTGCGGAACCAAGCCGGAAGACGGCGGGTACGACTACAACCCAGGCGACCGGCGCTTTGTGGGGCGGGCGTTGCGCCAGCACTGGTACCAGTTCTGGCGCTTTCGCGACCCCCCGCTGCCGCCGCCGCCGAGCATGGAAGATGCAGGCGTGACGCCGTACGCCCGCGCCGGTTGGCTCAGCGTGCTGTTCTACGAGTGGATGACGCCGATGATGGTCCTCGGCTACCGCCGCCCGCTCGAGTCGAGCGACCTGTGGCGCATGGATTCGCAGCACGAGGCAAAGACCCTTTCTCGCCGCCTTAACGCCGACTGGGAGCGCCGCGTGCGTGAGGCAGAGGAGAAGAACCGCAAAATCATTGACGGAACCACCCAGCCTGGCTTCGCGACCAAGGCAGCCTGGGCCGTCGGAATCGCCAAGGACCGCTACCTCTTGCGCAAGGTTCAAGCCAAGGGCATGACGCTCGCCAGGCGTGAGCAGCTCTGGCGCGCGCCGCCACCGCCTGGCTCATTCGACCCGCCTCCGCCCAAAGCGAAAGGCCCGCCACCCGCTGGAGCAGGCGCAGCAGCATCAGCAGTGGCTGCGAAAAAGAAGGAGACCGCTCGGCGCCCGCGCAACTACTCGGGACACCACCGGCCGTCACTGATCATGGCCATACACGACCAGTTCGCATGGCTGCTCTGGACCGGGCTGCTCATCAAGCTAGTTGGAGACGTGGCGCAGCTGACCGCGCCGCTCGTCGTGCGGCGCATCATCACGTACGGCCAGCAGGCGTACGCCGCGGCACATGACCCGATGCACACCCTGCCGGCGCCGAGTGTCGGCCTCGGCGTCGGGCTCAGCTTTGTGCTGTTCGCGATGACGATCATCGCGTCGGTGTTCCAGCACCAGTTCTTCTTCCGCAGCATGTCCGTCGGCGTCTTCTCGCGCGCGGCGCTCATCAGCGCCATCTTTGAGCGGGGCCTCCAGATGAACGGAAAGGACCGCGCCGCGGGCAAGCTCACGAATCACATCAGCACAGACGTCTCGCGCATCGACTTTGCCAGCAACTGGTTCACGCTCGTCGTCAGCGCGCCAATCCAGATCATCATCTGCCTCGTCATCCTCCTCACGCAGCTCGGGCCCAGCGCCCTCGCCGGCTTTGCCATCCTCGTCCTCGCCGCGCCCGTGCAGACTCTGGCCATGGGACAGATGTTCAAGGCGCGCCGCAAGAGCATGGTCTGGACTGACAAGCGCGCCAAGGGCATTGCGGAGATCCTCAGTAGCATGCGCATCGTCAAGAGTTTCAGCTTCGAGCCCGACTTTCTCGACCGCCTGCACACCGTCCGCAAGAACGAGCTCCGCGGCATCCGCACCCTCCTCCTCATCCGCTCCGCCGCGAACGCCGTCGCATTCTCCCTGCCCGTGCTCGCTGCTGTTCTTGCGTTCGTCACGTACAGCCTCACAGGCCACTCGCTGAACCCGGCCAACATCTTCACATCGCTCACGCTCTTCAACTTGCTCCGCATGCCCCTCCTGTTCCTCCCCCTCGCGCTCAGCGCCACGACTGACGCCATGAACGCATTCGGACGCTTACAGCGCGTTTTCGAGGCGCCCCTTGTCAAAGACACTAGCGAGCGCGAGCCGGACAGCAAGTACGGCCTCGTCCTGCAGGACGCCAGCTTCCAGTGGGACCAGGTGAAGGCTGAGGAGAACATGGGCGAAGTCAAGAAGCGCTCCCAGATTATCGCGGACGCCAAGGAAGCCAAGAAGGCTGCCGCGCTCGCAGACAGCAATTCTCCCGCCTCGCGTCTCTCGACCGCCGCCAGCAGGCTGATGTGTCGCAGCAGGAAGGTTATATCAGGCGTTTCGACCCCGCACTTGATCACGCCCAAGGCATCCAAGGCCAAACGTGTCGTGCAGACACAAGCCGATGCCACGTGTCAACGCCTGCGCGACAGCAATGAGGCGATAGTAAGGGATGCTGCCGGCGGCACGCAGGCGCTAGCCGGCCTGACCGAG